AAGACTAACATTTATTATATTTCAGCTACCAAAGATCCATAAGTGTGTGTGGTGCTACTCACCTCCTTCCATGGACATTACTGTTCACCCTCGCTCTGTTGTTGTTGCATATACTTTACTTCTTTCCTCATTTAGGCTCAAGAATCTCAAGTCCCTTCCTGCCCAGAAGACATGCCAGTCCACAAATTAATCCCCTAGTCCGATCCAGACAGTGAAATCCCTGAGTTCGCCCGTTCATGCCCCAGAGCCCAGCTTAGTGTTTGCAGCAAAGTTGGATCCAGTGACTAACTGAACCAGAATTAACATCTGCTCTGTCTGGGCAGAATTAACATCTGCTCTGTCTGTGCGTTTGGGCAGCGCACGTGCCCGTAATCTTCTCCAAGAAAATTTGCACCATTAACTGGGGGTCTATACCCGGACAGCTGAGGTGGCTGTTCAAGAAAGTTAAGGCCAATGAATCTCCTGTTTTCCTGGTTCTCTCGTCACGGCCACGAAGCTTGATCAAATCTCCTGTTCTCCTAGTTCCTTTGTCACGGTCACAGAGGTTGTTCCTAACTCCTGTATTCCCTGTGTCCCTAGCTCCTTTTTCACAGCCATGAGGGCTTAATCTATAAATATGGGTGGCCCGCTACCGCCAGCACCGCCTTGGCCTCCAGTACTGCCTACTGTACCTTCTTTCCCTGGTTGGATTCTGCTACTGTAGTCATGGGGAGTTGGATCCAGTGACTAACTGAACCAGAATTAACATCTGCTCTGTCTGGGCAGAATTAACATCTGCTCTGTCTGTGCGTTTGGGCAGCGCACGTGCCCGTAATCTTCTCCAAGAAAATTTGCACCATTAACTGGGGGTCTATACCCGGACAGCTGAGGTGGCTGTTCAAGAAAGTTAAGGCCAATGAATCTCCTGTTTTCCTGGTTCCCTCGTCACGGCCACGAAGCTTGATCAAATCTCCTGTTCTCCTAGTTCCTTTGTCACGGTCACGGAGGTTGTTCCTAACTCCTGTATTCCCTGTGTCCCTAGCTCCTTTTTCACAGCCATGAGGGCTTAATCTATAAATATGGGTGGCCCGCTACCGCCAGCACCGCCTTGGCCTCCAGTACTGCCTACTGTACCTTCTTTCCCTGGTTGGATTCTGTTACTGTAGTCATGGAGTCACACCTTCCAGGAGGGGGAGTACTGTCACGATCACCTGTCATCTCTGCACTCAATTTCTCAGCACCTTTCCTAGCTTCCACCTGCGAGCACTTGACACTCATCACCTCAGCCCTATATATGTCTGCACCACGCACTCGATGATTGTCTGGTCTGTGACTAGGACTACTCCTGTTACTCCCGTGATCTGCTCACATGCATGCTCACCTTGTGGATTCTTCCTCATCTCTGAAGCAAACTCTTCCTTGGTGTCCAGTACTGCCTGCTCCTCTATGGCGTCCTATCTTGTCTGCACCACCCAGGTGTCCTGCTTCCAACCAGTCATCTCATCCACACCCGGGTGCCCACCCTCTGTCCCTGGTTGGATTCTGTTAGGCGTGAGGTCTGCACTACACACTCGATGATTGTGTGGTCTATGACTAGGACTACTCCTGTTACTCTGCTTACCTGGATTCTCACCTTGTGGATTCTTCCTCATCTCTGAAGCTCCGGTCTCCTTCTCCAGTCTCCAGTTTCCACTGTTCGCCTAATAAGACCTGCAAGAGAAATATATACCCCTCCCTACTGATTCCTCCTCCAGTCTCCAGTCTCCAGCTCCCCTTGTGTTCTCCATGAACCTGTAAGATAAGACTGCCATTTATTATGTTTAAGCTACCGAGATCCATAAGTGCGTGTGGTGCTACTCACCTCCTTCCATGGACATTATTGCTCACCCTCGCTCTGTTGTTACCATATGCTCACCTTATGCTCTGATTTCCACAATAAATCATCCACTGTTGTTTCACCAAACCGAGTCTGTGTTTCCTGACACTAGTAGAACAGTTGCAGGATTAATGGAGCTAACAATGTGTGTCTTTTATAACAAGTTGATATGCTGTGATACTGGTTTGATCATATATTCACACACAGTCTGGTAAGAGTTTACAATAGGTTCCATTTGTTAATGTTAGTTAAAGGGTTAGTTCACCCAAAAATGAAAATTAGCCTGTGTTTTACTCACCCTTGGGGCATCCTAGGTGTATATGACTTTCCTCTTTCAGTCGAATCCAATCGGAGCTATATTAAAAATTATCCTGGCTATTCCAAGCACTATCATTGCAGTGGGCGGGTGTTTCTCTTTAACAGTCCAAAACACTGTAAATAGAGCGCGCACATCCATAATAAAACGTGACTCACACGGCTCCGGGGCATGAATAAAGGCCTACTGTAGAGAATCCATGCGTTTTTTATAAGAAAAATATCCATATTTCAAATGTAATAAACACTTTTCTCTCACTTCTGCTGACTGTCGTACGTGGAAGGCATTCAGGTGGATGACGTAGCACGTATGCGCAGCGCGCGCCTCTGAGAAATGCTAGTCTCGCGAGTTTGTTCACAGGAGCAAAGGAAGAAAAGTTTCCTTACTTTAGCAAAGGTAAACCAGTCTCCTCTTGGCTTATATCGAAATCCTCTGACATTTTTCTTTACAAATCCTCGGTTTGTACTTCTAATTCATGACTGGCATTTTGTTTTGTTCTCTCTCCGCGTTCGTCACTAATCACGCAACACCGACGTCCTACATCATCCTCCGGAACAGCTTCCACGTACCACAGTTAGATGAAGTGAGAGAGAAGTGTTTATTATGTTTGAAATACGGATATTTTTCTTACAAAAACACATGGA